TCTTCTCCAGGCTGAACACCCCCAACTCTCTCAGCCTGTCCTCATAGGAGAGGTGCTCCAGCCCTCTGATCATTTTCGTGGCCCTCCGCTGGACCTGTTCCAACAGGTCCATGTCATTCCTGTGTTGAGGACTCCAAAGCTGGACACAGTAATCCAGATGGGGTCTCACCAGAGTGGAGAAGAGGGGCAGAATCACCTCCCTGGACCTGGCCATACTTTCTGAGCTGTGAGCACACATTGTCAGCTCACATCCAGTTTTTCATCCACCAGTACCCCCAAGTCCTTCTCAGTGGGGCTACACTCAATCCCTTCCCCCCTCAGCCTGTACTGGTACAGGGGGGGTTGTCCTGAACCAGGTGCAGGACCTTGAACCTGATGAGGTTCACATGGGCCTGCTTCTCCAGCTTGCCCAGGTGCCTCTGGATGGCATCCCATCCCCCAGGTGTGTCAGCCACACCACTCAGCTTGGTGGTGTCTGCAAACTTGCTGAGGGTGCACTTAATCCCACTGTCGATGTCACTGATTAAGATATTAAACACTATTGGTCCCATTACAGACCCCTGAGGGACCCTGCTTGTCACTGATCTCGATCTGGACATTGAGCCATTCACTACTACCCTCTGGTTGTGACCATCCAGCCAATCCCTCGTCCACCAAACAGCCCATCCATCAAATCCATATTTCTCCAATTTAGAGAGAAGGATGTTGTGGGGGACAGTCCAGATAGATGACATCAGTAGTTCTTCCCTTGTCCACTTACGTAGTCACTCCTCATAGAAGGCCACTAGGTTGGTCAGGCAAGATGTGCCCATGGTGAAGTCATGTTGGCTATTGCGAATCACCTCCCTATTCTCCATGTGCCTTAGGATAGCTTCTAGAAGTATCTGTTCCATGATCTTCTCAGGCACAGAGGTGAGGCTGACAGGTTGGTAGGTCCCAGGGTGCTCCTTTCTACCCTTTTTAAAAAGGGTGCAATGTCTCCCTTTTTCCAGTCACCAGGGACTTCACCTGACTGGCATGCCTTTTCAAATCTCATGAAGAGTGGCTTGGCAGCTACATCAGCCAGTTCCCTCAGGGCTCTGGGATCCATCTTATCAGGTCCCATAGACTTCTGTATGCTCAGGTTCCTCAGGTGATCTCAAAGCTGTTCTGTTACACGGACTTTGTTCCCCCAGTCCCTGCCTTGCAGTCCATCCACTTGAGAGGTTTCAGTGAAGACCGAGGCAAAAAAGTTGTTGAGTACCTCAGCCTTCTCCTTGTCTACTGTTACCAGTTTGCCAGTTGTGTGTTGGTTTCTTTGACCTTCCTTTTCTGGCTGTAGAACCCCCCTATTCTACCTGTAGAACCCCTTCTTATCGTTGTGTCCTCTGCCAAGTTCAGCTTCAGCTCTGCCTTGGCCCTCCTGACCCCGTCCCTGTACAACTGGGCAACGTCCCTATATACTCTTTGTAGGATATCTGTCCCTGCTTCCACTGCCTGGGCATTCCATTTCCTTCTTGCCCTTTAGTTTGACCTGCAGGTCATGATTCATCCATGACTATCTTTTTCCTTCCTTTCCTGATTTCTTACACATGGGGATCGAGAGCTCTTGGGCTTTATGGAAAGTAAAGATCTGCCAGCTCTGAGCTCCTCCCTTGTCCCTGAATGCCGTTTGTGAGGGAGTCCCATTGACTAACTCCTTGAACAGCAGGAATTTTGCTTTCCTAAAATTCAGGGTCCGGACTTTCCTCTTTGCCTGTCCCCTATCTGGACAGGCAAACTGCAAACTCCACCAGTGCACGATGGCCGCAGCCCAGGCTGCCTTCACTCTTAATGTCTGTGATTAGTTCACTTGTGTTGGTCACCAACAGGTCCAGTATTGTTGCTTTTCTGGGTTTTTGCCCTCTCTCTCTCCATTTGAAGGGAAACTTGTTTTTTTTGTTGCTTTTCTGGGCTTTTGCCCTCACTCTCCATTTGAAGGGAAACTTGTTTTTTTTATTTCTGTTCCTCTTTCTTATCTTGTGTATCACACTTGCTTCATATTGACCGTTTCTTTGCTGATGACTAATGAGTTCAAGTTACAGGAACTGCTTTTCCCTGCTCTAAAATTTTGATCCTTTCCTTTTTGATTAATTCTGCTTTCGCAGCTCATCCTGCCTGATGCTTGCTGTCAGTCTTCTGTGTGCAAAATGCAAATTCACGTGCATTTTTGATTTGGGCCAGTTCATCACGAGCGTGTCTCCTACCTCCTCTCACCTTTCTTTTATTGCTCTGTTTTCTGTTGCTTTCTTACCCTCTCCAAACACAAAGTTTCACTGTTGTGCCTGGTCCTTCAGTCTTATTTTTCCGTGACTCCTTTGAAATGATATTTGGTACATAACTAGTTGGTGCAGGGATTCATTGAAGACTAATTGTGTGTAGAGTTTAATTCTGTTTCCTTCCATATAGTGCTTTCTTAAAGTCTCTCAGCATCTTATCTCTTTAGCTCTCTGGCACAATGGAGTTTTAGGAGTACTGGTGTGACTCCAAACGAGCTCAGTGAATCAGGCAGCTTATATGTTTTTCTGCTATTTTTTTTTTTTTCAAGTTATTGACACGTTGTACTTGCTGTTGCTGGGTCCTCCTTCTGCTCAGAAGGTTAAATGTAAAACTTTGTTATGGAAAGCCATAAAAAAATTAATTTTCAGAGGCAACTTGGACAAAGCACAGGGAACAATTGCCTCCTTTGAGACACTTGTCAGGAGCCCAAAACCTGTCTGAGAGGGTTAGTGAATGGGCAAGGTATAAAAGTATAACCAATAGAAGGTCAAGTCAGAGAAGGAAAAGTAGTTTTCTTTACATTTGCAGTTACCAAGTGGTTTGTGCCTCGAGACCCTTTATATACAGCTCATCTGCCTTGAGGCAGTGTTGGTTAAGTTCTTCCTTCACATGTGAGGCACCTGCTGCTGGGCACTTTTGAAGCAGGAATGCTTAACTAGATGCACTCCTTTCACTGCTCTTGTGTTAGATGAGATCTGTAGTGGTTACAGGCAAAGTTGGTGTTTTTTTTTAAAGACAGACTCAGGTGTAACCAGGGGAACAAGTTAATACAGATGGTATGCTTAAAAGGGAGACAACATGCATATTTAAATCTGTATATGAATTAGGTGGTCTTCTGCTTGAACAGTGTTTGCTCTCTCCATGTGTTGGGGAAATGGGAGGACAAATGTACCGTGAGGGTTGAATGAGTGAGCAAATCTGATCATAGAATCATAGAATCATATGGGCTTGGAAGGGACCTCTGGAGCTCATCAAGTCCACCCCCGCCACTGGAGTGGGTCTATCCAGAGCAGGTTGCACAGAATCTTGTCCAGGCATTTTTTGAATGTCTCCAGAGAAGGGGACTCTACCACCTCTCTGGGCTGCCTGTTCCAGTGCTCTACCACTCTCACAGTAAAGAAGTTCCTCCTCATGTTTAGGTGGAACTTCTTATACTCAAGTTTGTGCCCATTTCCTCTTGTCCTATCCCTGGGCACCACTGAAAAAAGACCGGCCCCATCCTCCTGACTCCCTCCCTTTAAGTATTTATAAGCATTGATCAGATCCCCCCTCAGCCTTCTCTTCTCTAGACTAAAAAGACCCCATCTCTCTTCATAAGAGAGATGCTCCAGGCCCTTAATCATCTTTGTGGCCCTTTGCTGTACCCTCTCCAGCAGTTCCCTGTCCTTCTTGAACTGAGGGGCCCAGAACTGGATGCAGTATTCCAGATGGGGCCTCACCAGGGCAGAGCAGAGGGGCAGGATGACCTCTCTCCACCTGCTGGCCACGCTCTTCTTGATGCACCCCAGGATGCCATGATCACCTAGATCTGTTTCACCCACAGGTTTTATGGCAGTCAACAGGTCAGACCTGCTGGATGCGTTGGCACATGTTGGAGATTATTGACTTCGGAGACCAGTGGGAAGATGCTGCTGCTCAGGAAAAAGAATATAGTCTGATAGAGAACGTTAACCTGGACACAGGTGAGATGATGTATCGTGTATATCATCTCTTTCTGATCTGCTCTGGTGTATTTTTGAATGATAAACTTCATATGGCTAGGCATACAGCAACTAGCAGGGTGGATTTAGAAAGCACTATGAGCTTCTAGCTTGTATGACCCTGTAGAACTGGTTAAGTAATTGCATGGCTCGTAATTCTGTCATGTAAAAAGCATACAATTTGATCTAAACTGCAACTGCCAAAAAACGACTGTTTGAATTAACAGAACAAACTGGCAAAATAAGAACGTAGAGTCACTCTGACATGAAGCTGCTTTAGGGACCCTCAGATCCCCTTCAATAAGTGATGAGGGTTTTAAAAAGCATTAACACGCCGAGAATTTTTTTAACTTCATACCGCTCAGTTTTGGGCAAGGTGAACATTAAATGCACCGTTTTCATAAGACATCTGCAGACTCTCCTAGAATCCTTTGACATTACCCTTGTACTGGGAAAAGGGAAAACCCAGACTTCAGATACTCCTCTCTTGTTCAGCGTCTGACATGACTCTGGCCAGGGAAACCTGTTAAAGTAGCTCTTTTTTCATGCCCGTGATCTTGTAGGACATTTTTTGGGTAGAGTGATCTGGATTAAGCTGCTGCAAGAGACAGAATATGCATGAGATCAGCAGCTAATTTTCCACTTAAAAAATATTCTCACTGCCAGGTGAAAAGATGGCTTCTTTAGTGGCTTCTGCCTCTTGTAGCTAAAGACTTAACCGTCATCTGTTAGAAGTGGCTTAGTTAAAACAAACTTGGTTAGACTTTGCCTTTTTTCTCGGTCTCTCTGATTGTGATAGAAGCATGGGCTCTGTTTCACTTCTGTGTAGAATTTTTTCCGGCCATGGTATCCCACACAGAAGTTGATTTGAAAAAGTAGATGCTTTCTGCTTTGGATCTTGACAGTTGGATACATGAACTTGTGTTGACTGACTGTGGGGAATCAGCTGTGTACGTTACTGCTCTTAGCAGGCTTCAGCCTCTGGGAGTGAGTTTGGCCCTTTTCTGTTGACTCTTGAGATGGTAAATGTCTCTCATCTTGCATTTGCAGAGAAAGCTGCAAGTTGTTGCTTAGCAGATGTCAGCAACTGTTGATTCAGCTCTTATTTCTAAACTACCTCGGGAATATCTAACCCACGTGACGTTATATCTCCCTTTATTCGTATGGGATGCATTAGCTAAAAGGAGTGTGATAACTGTGCAGTCTCCTTTCCTTTTGTCCATAAGTATTTGGCCTGTTAGCCAGCAGGAGGTGTTTAGAAAAGGGAGAAGCTCATGGCAGAATTGACTTCCCATTCCATTAACTCTTGGGCCAGCTCTGTTTCCCCTTCTGCAGCTGCAGTGGGGACTCTGCTGCTGTGGGGTGGAGAGCGCGTTGCCCTGGCTGGTCCAGGCACTGTGGGAACAGGTTAGGGGAGCAATGAGCCAGAGGTGCTTGTGCTTTTTCTGTTCTGCAGCCCAAAGAGGTTCAAGTGAAGGTGGTAATCCCCATCTCGGTGGCTTCTGGGATCTCCTCCCAGCGTGCTCCCCCTGTCTCGCTGCCCTCCCGTCACCTGCTTTTCCCCCGGCAGGCTGTGGGGCAGTGGGGATGTGGGGAATGGCTGTGCAGCAGAGGATGGGGGAATTGGCAGAGCTGACGGTTCCCTTCCTTCCTCTGCCCTCCTGCAGTTGGGCAGCCGTTTTTCTGCAAGCCCTTTGGGGGGCTCTACTCCCTGCCTTACCTGGGGGAGCAGCCGACCAAGGCTGCAGGGGCCCTGAGCCGCGCCGAGTGGTGGGAGCTGCTCTTCTTTGTGAAGAAGCTGGAAGCGCAGGAGCAGAAAGAGATCACCTACCTCATCCAGCAGGACCAGGGAGGGCAGGTACGGGCTGGAGCCTGCAGTGGGGAAACGGGAGGGAGGGAGAGCGTTGGGGTAGACAGCGGGCCAGAGGAGGAGATGACAAGGTTTGAGCTGTGCAGGGAGAGCCTGAACGGGGCAGAAGTGGGTCTAGAGTGGGGGGTGATGAAAGCGTGGGGAGCTGGGCAGAGCAAAGGGGTGAGGGGAGATGGGGAAACGCGGTCTCCCGTGGCCCTGGAGGAGTGATTGTGTCCAGCGAGGTCTGGGAGGCGAGGCGAGCCCGTGGGGGGGTTCTGGCTGGGGGGAGGGCAGGGGGGCACCAAGGGG